TTCCCGACTATGCCGTTCACCTCTGCGACATAAATTTGCTTTGTCACTCTTTCCTCATTCATTCTTTCTACATGGCCAAACCACCGAAGCATTCCTTTCTTAAACCTGGTCACAACATCATCTTGCAAACCACACTCTTCCCTTATTAAACAATTTCTCACTCTGTCATTCAGATTCATCCCTAACATACTCCTTAATGACCGCATTTCTACAGCATTTATTCTACTCTCTTGCTTCTTCTGCCACACCCAACTTTCTTTTTTTAATTTATTGTATAATGTTGTCGTTTGTCACCCTATAAGGCATTTTACTCAAATATGAGTAACAGGGTAAGCATAGGTACATATGTATGTTATTATCCTAAACATTTTTATTTCTTTATTTTCATAGGGCCTTGGCTACAAGGCTATCAGTCAAAAAGAATACATAAAATACTGTAGTACATTTAACTATAATAATTAAGCTTTTAATAAAAACAAAAAATTGACATTAAAAACTAAAAAGAATAAAATAATTTCCACACAATATCTTCTGCAGATAAAGAATTGAGGGATCATCATTACAGCCCTTCATAAGTCCAACGCTGAACATAGGCCTCCCCCAAGGAACGCCACAAAGCACGGTCCTGAACCACCTGCGTCCATCGACTTGCTGCATGTCTTACCAGGTCGTCACTCCATCTAGTGGGGAGCTGCCCTACACTTCGTCTGCCGGTACTAGACTGCCACGCGAGAACCGTTTCGATAATAGAGTTGTTTAAATAGATACATTAAAGTATGTATCCTCTATTTTTTCATCCCTAGCAATACAATTTGTTATTCATCCCTCTTTAAGTGTAATACATATAATTAAAAAAAATCGCTTTATAAACGAAGAAGTTATACCCGAACATAAATATAAAAAAACACATGGTTATTATTGAAAGAGTAGCCAAATTTTAAACTTAATTTTTTATATATATAATTTTTATATAAATAATTTTATAACGTTGTTTAAATTTTTGAAAACACGAGTAAATAAGGCTTCTACTTTTATTTGAAATTATCCCAAATCGAATGCGATTTATGGGCAACAACTTTTTTGCCTACCGATCGATCCTTACGAATGTGTGCGTGCGCAGTAAAATCAGATAAAATAATGCATTACCACGCATTTTGAATTTAAAAGATAAAAAGGACAGAATTTTGGAGATTATTTTAAATAATTTTTCTTCACTATTTGCCTATATTACTTATTCACAAGCTTCTCTGCAAATTTGGCCGGTTATTGCAAAATAACCCTTATACACATTTACATACGAATTAAGAACTTCCTCCTTTTTGGAGTGGCTTTATCTCATATACTTATAATTACGCTAAGTGAATACGATGAAGTTAAGAGATTTCGACATTCGATTTTTTTCCTTTATTTTTTTTTTCTTTATAGGATAGGGTGTCGTTTGCACACAGTCCACCTGATGGTAAGTGGTTGCTGTTACCCATAGATATTTACATTTATCCTCAATAAAGAATCAAAATGCAGATGCGTCGTCACCCGTGAGGACTAAGATGGAATGCCTCTTTTCCAGTAAAATGGGTCTCCGGTTCTCTACACTCACCATACGTAACACAGCAGCGTTAAGCTGCTATTTTACGCTGGTATTCTTTTATTTTTATAGGATAGGGTGACAAACAAGCACACAGTCCACCTGATGGTAAGTGGTTGCTGTGGCCCATAGACATCTACATTTATCCTCGTTTGCGAATCAAAATGCAGATGCGTTGTCACCCGTGAGGACTAAGATAGAATGCCTCTTTTCCAGTAAAAAGGATCTCCGGTTCTCTACACTCACTATACGAAACACAGCAGCAAGCTGCTATTTGACGCTGGTATTCTGTGAGAGCGTGGTCCTTCCCCGGTCGAGCCGACCCATTCGTGCTACAACTATACTACTAATATAGCTGCATCATGGCTCTACCATGTAAAATGACGATAGTATCCCAAGTTCATAAGGCACCTAAATAGACACAATAATTTGAGGTTTGTATCACCATCGCAGCGCTTGTTTCATCGTTTCCGGTAATAGTTCATATGCGCAGATGTTTCATACACAAAACCGCACCACATTTACGTATCAAAATCCACTTTGAATCATTATTTAATCGATAATACAGGAGCAGCAACCCTAGCAAGTTCCCGCCAAAAAAGCCGCTTTTTTATGCAAAATCTTGTCTAAAAAGAAATTGCCACAGGTAAAATAATTAAATAAAAAATATAAGTGTAATTGGTGCGCAAGAGAATCCATCTCATCCCGTAGGTGTCTAAGAAAATTGCCGGCAAATATACCAGTAAACAAGCGTAAAAACATCTCAAATATAATATCCGCTTTGAATTACATAGATCAACTATAAAAAAGAGGTAATATTAGATTACGATACGTAATAGTTTTTCCTACGATAGAACCATACATTCAACTGTAACTTTATGTACTCTATATAGTACATGAAGTTACAGTTACAGTCATGCTGCAGGTCTCACAGAATACCAGCGTGAAACAGCCGAATGAAACTCTGCAATAGCAGCTAAATCTGCAATAGTAGAGAACCGGTGACCCTTTTTACTGGAAACGATGCTTTCTATCTTAGTCCTCATGGGTGACAACACATTTTAGATTGTAGATATCTATGGGCCACAGCATCCATTTCCCTAACTACCCGGACTGTGCTCGTTTGTCATCTACATCTACATCTACACTTCTACATCTACATCTACACTTCTACACTAATCTACACTTATATTTAATATTATATTATAATATTATAAAGAGGAAAGATTTGTTTGTTTGTTTGAATTGAAAAGGCTTCGAAAGTACTGGACCGATTTGAAAAATTCTTTCACCATAAGAATCCTACATTATCCCTGATGAACATAGGCTACATAATATTTTCAAAAAGTTAGGGATCCGTAGGAAAACTTCGTTAATGTAACCCAAGGTGTGAAAAAAATACCAAAAAGAATCATTATATCGCGTACGCTGCGGAAACTATTGATGTTAGAGAAAAGTATGTACTTCAGTTTTATAGAGGGTATCAATATCTACAAAAAAGCTTACCATTAAGATACCATTTGTTTAACTATTACAGTTATGTCACAATAACTACTTTTTTCATGTTAAAATATGAAATAGTAACGCCGGTACAAACTAGGCCACATTATTCATATCAGTACCTGTACCCTGCTAACCACCAATTATGTTAACCATGTAATTTTAGTAACATTTTTCACTTTTTAAATCTATGTTAATTCAGCAACCGTCCATCGTGATGTCTCTCTCGAAGTTAGCATGTCGCAAGGCGTAGACGCGTGATATACGCGGGTGATACCGCGGGGCATAGCTAGTCCTCATATAAATACCTACTAGCTGTAACCGTGGAAAATATTAGTCATCTTAAAAATTTTTAATCTGTTTGTATATACATACCATTCGCACGATATTAAAAGACGTATAAAAACAAAACACAAAACATACATATAAAACAGCATAATTAAAGCCGACAAAAATATATCGTTAATCCAAATTACTAATTATATACGTAAAAAAAAAACCGATAAAATTCTCACTGTTTTGTTTTGATCGCGTATTAATTGAATATAAATTGACACCTCAATAATATAGATAGGAAGCGGTGTCGGCTTCTTACATGAGTTTAGAACCAGGACGACCGATTAATTTGCTTCAAATGAGTGTAATTTGGAAATCGACAGTCGTTGGACCGAAGCGAAGGTACGTAGACTTTAGAACATAAATGCAGGTTTTAATCTAAACTGTCAACTAACCCACCTCAACAGATAAATATTAGATCTTTACGGTCAGATAGTCCACTTTTTCTCACTTATTTAAATGAAGCTACAGAGACTTATCTCGTTAATGCCGATTTAGGAATCATAAGTACCACTATATTAAAATTTATTTCTTACTTCGTTAATTTAACGTAGAAGTGAAGTTATGTAAATCAGAACTATCGTTATCGCCAACTATTCCTTATGTTTAAGTAATTCTTCTGTTAGTTTATCTAATTCTTGACCGTGTATTGGCGGTGTTATAATATCGACTACCCCATATCAACCCGTGGGTGTCGTTATAGGCAACAGAGGGAAACAACCCATGCGAAACTAAAAAATAAAAACTGCAGTTACCATTACTTCTGTCAAGCGTGACCGCTATGGCAAATATCGCCCCTATGCGGCTGTCTATGGGGAAGACCTACATTCAGCAGTTGATTTATAATAGGCTGTAACGGTAATTGTATATAATTATTCACCGAAGAAAAGTTCTTCACCGAGGAATATATAACTCTGATAGTAGTCCGGGTCTACTATCAGAGTAATATATTATATTCTGGTGTTTTAAGTATAAGTTAGGGCGCTTTTAGGGCGACAAAATAATTATTTCAGAACAGATGCTATACATAGGTACTTATCCAAATAAAGAACAAACTAAATAAGGTTAGTAGTGGCGTTGTAAGAATATCTACTACCCCTATTATCGTCCCACGGGTCTCTTAGAGGAGACAGAGGGAAACTGAGTCAGGAGATGGGCAACAGCGTCTTCTTGGTAACAACTCAAAATAATAAAAAAATCCGGTTGCCACTCCGCTTGCCAAGCGTGGCAACTATGGCAAAATTCCCCCTATGACGCAAACAACCTATGAGGGAGGCCTATGTCCATCTATGGGCTTTTTATAAGCTATAACAGAACCATCGCCAAATCAGAAATGTACTACTACTATGATGCAAAGCTTATAATGCAAGTGAAAAAAACAGATAATGTCATATGAATTCCAATGACAGATTACTTGGTTGTACTGGTAAAAGCTCGATTAGATTAAAATGATACCAAGTCGTGTATAGATAAATTGATTATTATTTTCCCCGTGTCTACGAAAACTGACCAGTTTTTTTTAAACCGGCCGGTTAATAAATATGTACAATCGCGACGCCTATCCCGAGACACCGACGGCAGTACGCCACGGACCATAGGCAGTTGAAGACGCTTGATATAAAAAAAGGTAGCTGTTATCTATGACTTGACAAGCAAAAGGCGCGAACTGCGCGATTTAAAAAATGAACTGTTATAGAACTTATACCCTATTCTATCTATTAGACAATAATTTACAGCAATAATTATGTGTTAATAATGTTAGAGTGATATTTTAAGTTAAAAGTGTTTTGTGCCTCAAGTATTCAAATGAACGAAAGTGCCGACCTTAAATTTTATGTATGATTTATTCAAGCCCGTGGATAAATTTATTTTTGCTCATGGCAATTAAAATGGTAAGTTTATTGAATTATATTTTAATTCATAATTATTTTACCAGTGCTTATACAAAGGTTAATCAAAACAAAATATTATAATGTATTTCAAACAATATTTTTTCTGCGTTCCTCAATTTGCCATTTGCAAAAATTGCTGACATACTAATTTTAATTTTTAAGAATGTCAATGCCATTAGCAATCGATATTATGATAAAATATAATTTATGAATTTATTTTATTTGCTTAAAATTTTATTCAAAAAATTAAATATAATTAATAAAATAAAAATGTGTAATACAAAAACAATAAGTTGCGTATGCTTTTAATCTAGGTTCAGCTTGGTCCAAATTTAAATTGCTAATCCCTGACTTCTTCCAGTGCAGCCAGATCTAGCTTTAGATGCATTTCGACTGACGATGATCACGATGAAACCAGGATACTTTTGTCATTCGGATGATCAAATTGTTATCTACTACTGCATTCAATTTACCAAGTAAATCACAACTGAAAAACGTGACAAATTAAAAAAGTTAACACGAATAAACGGAATAAACCTAGTCTGAAAATTGCTATTCATTACAGTTTTATTCGATCAAAAATTTAAATTCCGTTGACTATGTAAAAACAATTGAAATAAATGCGACACACTCCACAATTACTTTTTATTCAAACATTATTAATTCCATTGTATTGTTCTATTTACAAAAAAGTGACTCAACACGAAGACATTGTGATTGATTTAAAATTTCTTTATGTATTCTGTATTTTCTATTGTGAGAAAACTAACGGCTGACCACAATTCGCATCGGCATGCCATAGATTACCTACTAATAACGCTACCTATTCGAAATTAAAACATGGTTCAAGAGCCAGGTTACCAAGGGTAGAGCCATGCTGCAGCTATATTAGTATTATAGTTGTAGCACGAATGAGCCGGCTCGACCGGGGAAGGACCACGCTCTCACAGAATACCAGCGTAAAATATCAGCTTAACACTGCTGTGTTTCGTACGGTGAGTGTAGAAAACCAGAGACCCTTTTTACTGGGAAAGAGGCATTCCATCTTAGTCCTCACGGGATATCTCCATATCGCACGCATCTGCATTTTGATTCGCAAACGAGGATAGATGTAGATGTCTATGGGCCACAGCAACGACTTACCATCAGGTGGACTGTGTGCTCGTTTGTCATCCTATCCTATAAAAAAAAGAACAACATTTCATAAACTTTAATGATTGATGAATTTACGGAAACTCTATTTTTATATTTAAGAAATATCAAATATTTATTCCTCCCCCCCCCCCCACCCTCCCCCTAACATCGACTCGTAAGCTCTAAATAATTTTTATTTTATCACGGAAAATAAGAGATAAAAAAAATTAATTTGAAGAATATTTTTTTTAAATATAAAAATTTTAAAAGTGCTAAGCGCCGCGGATTCGAATCCCGCACGGAACAAGTATTTGTATGGCCTACAAGTAGTTATTCCTGGTCTGGATGTTTTTTCTTGTGAAATTCATGTTCGTAAACTGCCGCCACTATACAGGTTAAAATCCTTGTGTAAAGAGGTAACGTTTTGAATAAAATATCAATTTTATTAATTATACCATTATTCAAAATTAGCAAGTCGTCAGTCCATCATCCTTTATTTTAATCCATCACTGAACATAGACTTTTTCAAGAATACGCTAATCAGCGTGCACAAAACTTGATAGCGCCCATTTAAAACAGAAAAGTTATTTAATGACTTCCAAAAGCTCTTTCTTCAAGAGCTAAATTGCATTCCATAAATCTAAAATTTCATTAAAAAATTAGCCCCCTCAAAATATGTTTTTCTATTCACACCAATACATAACGAAATATTACTTTGAAATGATTTTATTTACTCGCGTGAAATATATAAAAGAGAAAAGGAAGTCTAGAAAGAAAAGCTAAGCATTTCACAAATCTTGTAGAATAAAAGATAAATTAAAAATTTCGTTAGTAATAATGAATTCGTAATCTATAGTCGTAGGGAAGTGACGAAACCATCGCCCGATGACGTAACAGTAAGTGACAAAAGACAAAACTGCTACATCGGCGTAGTCAGTCAGCGCCTTGCCAAGAGGTGTGAGCGCCGTGCCTCGGCAGAATTGAGGGTGTAAAGACCCGTTTATGCTTACGACCGCACCATGGAACGGTGCCGAGCCTGGGCGTCTCCCGTTAATTGAAGCTCAATATTATGGATGATGGATAATAATAGAACACGTAAAGGGCCGCTGCCTGGGGATCGCCGGGGCGCGTCTGAAGCTGGCGCTGGACACGATAGCATGCTTGCCGCTAGCTGAGCGCAAGGGGCTGCACGACTACCCAGTAGCTCCTCGCATCCATCATCCCCACGAGATGGTTTGGTGTCGGCAGGGTCCTCTTGAACTCGACAACGAGCACCCGCTGCTGGTGGAGTTCGCCGCATGCGTTAGGCAGATAATATGAAAACAAACGCATTGCGGACGTACTTTATGGCGAAAGGCAAAAGACTGGAGGGTTAGCGTATCGGGCTTGGATGCATCTCTTCTTTGCTGAGCTGGAGCCGTCTGTTCTTGTCACAGAGCAAAACCTGGCAGACCGAGTTCGGTAGATAAAACGCTCAAAAATATTTGATGAAGCCGAACTCGAACGACTACGGCGTAAGGCCGAATGAAGCGACTATAGCTGGGGATGCGGCTCGTCAAGCCACAGATCCACATGTGGAAGCCGCTATAGATCTTCCCACTCTGGTTCATTCAGACGATGATGGAATGGTCACCCATGAACTATTCGCACATGGGGAGTAAATAGGATGAGGCGACTATAGAAACTGAAAATCGACCGCGACGCACGCACATACCCCGAAGTAAGCGGAATCGGGATATCATGAAGGCCCTTAACCCAATACTGGCAACTAACTTGGAAAACATATAATCATAGTTTGCCGCATTGTTGGTGCCAAACTCACCACGCCTGAACGGGACTGCGAATCTACCAGTAAAAAGAGTCGCCGGTTCTCCATTCAACGTAAAAACCACATCAGCATTAATCTGCTATTTTACGCTGTTCTGTGAAAGCGTGATCCTTCCCCGGTCGACCCAACCCATTCGTGTGTACGGTTGAATGTACTAAACACAACAATAACACAATCTTGTGGGGACCTAACCACAAATAAAAAATGGCATATTGTATTTATTCAATGAGCTATTCGTTTGATTGATAGTTGAGAGTACACGAATACGTAATCCATTTTTCAAACAACAAATTCAACACGTGTAAGTAATATTCTAAACTACAAAAGTAAAGATATCAAACCAGTGAAGATTGAAACGAAAACAAGAACAATGTTTTAAAGTAATTAAAAAAAAAACATGCATTTGTGTCGAGGAACACTCGGTTGGAACGAAGTTGAAAATGAAGCTTCATTTAAAATAATATTTCTTTCATGGCAAGATAAGAAAAAGTGCGAGGGAGACGGATATTATTCCATCTCGCTCGCCTTATAGAAAGGGGATCGTGACGGATAAATTTTACACCTTTTTCTCGCCTAGCCCCCATTCTTCAAATTCGTACCGTGCGATAAGGAACTTCGTTCCAAAACCGACCACATAAAATAGATTACTTACTTTAAAATATCAATATTCTCCTTTTAATATTATTCCATTTACAAATGGTTTTATCGTGTAGTGGCGGTGTAAGAATATCCACTACCCCATATCACCCCGTGGGTGTCGTAAGAGGCGACAGAGGGAAACAAATCAGATGGGCAGCAGCGTCTTCCTAATAACGACTAAAAATAAAAACTGCAGTTGCCAACCTGATTGCCAAGCTTAGCAACTATAGCAAATATCAACCCTATGAGGAAGGACTATGTACAGCAGTGGAGTTTAAAAGGTTGCAACGGTTACAAATTGTTGTGACTTTCAAAACGTTTTTTTTATATTTTTCTCTTTGCAGACAACGACTGTCGAATGCACTCTCTGCAGTAACATAAAATGTGGTCAAACTATCTACTTTGACCACATTTTATGTTATTGGTGTAGAAAAAATAAAAAGTTTACTAAAAAAGGAATGTATGGCAAGTGTAGAGAAACCCTCTTTAGTTGAAACAATGCATTCCATCTTAGTCTTCAGGGGTAACAACGAATCTGCATTTTGATTCTTGATCGAGGGTAGATGTAGATGTCTATGGACATTAACATCCACTTGCCATCATGAACAGTGTGCTCGATTGTCACCCTTATCCTTCATTAAAAAAAACCTGATAATGCTTATCAAATCATCTGTATCATTGATTCAGTTGATTGGCGATAGAAAGAAAGGTTTTTTAATAGCTTTTTCATCGCACTTACTAAATAACGTTTAATACTCATACATTATGTATACTCATATATATAACGTTATTTCAATAATTTATGGTGTTATTATGAACTAGCAGCTGTTATTTACATTCCAATTAAATATTTTCCGCTATGTTTATCAAGCTACCATAAACTATCACTAGCGGAAGTCACAAAACGTATTTGATAAATACACAATAAATTACTGGATCCAATTTAGCTACTTGGGGTAACTTTAAGAAAAGTTGAATAGCTTTTTATTTCAGTGCATATAAAGTAGCAACGTGGCACCATTGTAAATATAAAAAAAATCAAATCGACACTAAAATCAATCAATCGAAACGTAACAATCGACCCATTTTCACTTTACCGTCCAAGACTCTTGTTCTCGACAATGGACTGTGTTACATTGACCTTTACGTGAGCATTGTTTAAACCCTTAGTTCTTGCATACTCTATGACTAATTTTAAATACTAACAGTGTTATCAAATCCTTGACTTTGTTGATATAATTTCATGTGGAGTACGAAACGCGAGCTTCTCATGCATTTTCTTTAACCTTTTAAAATATCGAAATTTTTCTTTCTAATAATATTCCATTTACAAATTATTTTATAGTGCGGTATAAGAATATCTACTACACTATATTATCCCGCGGGTGTCGTAAGAGGC